TCCAATAATGTAAACTGGGTTCGAAATTTAGTCACAAGCTTCCGAATAGCTCCCTCATTGCCCATAAATTGGAAGCGGTGCTCGATGCACTCTCTTAACCGAGCATGAATTTTGATAGTAAAATTCAATATTTGCAAGCGTTGTTCGTTCGTAAGTCGATTCATGGTTAAATTATAGACCAAACTGAACAAGTTTGACAATGACACAAGACACGATTCACGCGTCATTTGTCAAAAACAGTGTTGGCAAAAAGATACTAGCAAAAAAATCACCCATTAGATACATTCGTTAATGATGCGCAGAGAGATAGAATCGGTTTTCATTATCGTTTGCAGAAGAAATTTTTTAAATCAAGAGTGAAAAGTACAGCCCCAAGGTAAAGAAACTTGAGGTTCTCTAGGAACTTGGAGCCTAGCAGTACCTACAAGTCAATACTGTTTGTACCTATGATCAAAGGTACATAATGAGCGAGCCTGTTGACTGGACTGCAAATATCGGAGAAGTGAATCGTAAATCCTAAATACAAGATATTCGGAAGGTTGATGCCAACCCTTTAAGGGGTGATAGAACCATGCATTTGTTCATTAACGAAGAACAACTTTTATATTCTGTTAGTTTTATTATTTATCTCGATAATTTGCATTTTTTTTATTGAGTACTTTGTCAATATCAAGTGACTTGTTTAACGAAAAGTGGATTTTGTGTTGTTTGTAATTCCGATGAAGTTCTGCTTGATCTACTATTTTGGGTTATTGAGCCAAAAATTATGATTTTATCGCGACTTTAAATTACAGTGTTGCCAAACATTTCCACAAATCTGAAAAGACGAACCATTTACAAAGCCTTAACCAACATTACTCTTTATAACGTGTACGCGATTATTGGATAACTTGGAAATTATTGGTATAGGGAGACTAAACATTAAGATAAATAATAAAAAATAAGGGTCGTATCGTCAGTCGTTCCAATAATTGTAGGACGCCTTTATGACCTCCTTGATCTTCATAGTTTTTCCTGTAGTTTAGAAACGAAGGCAGACAGATATTTACTGTTCCGTGTCAGCGCTCTATTTTGAGGTTATGTTACAAATCTACAAATACCGCAGCCTTTCTAAAGGAAAGAGAATATTTAGGCCCGTATCGTCAGTCGTCCCTACAATTGTAGGGCGCGTTTAAGGCCTCCTTGATTGTCATACTCCTTTCTCTCCTTCAAAAATTTCTAGATTACACTTGCCCCGTGTCAGCGTCAGCGCTCTCCTATTGTAAAGATATGTTTTCTTTTTAAATTGTAGGAAATTTCAGGCTGATAAAACATGATATAACTCAAAAGCAAGCACAATTTGATGCAAATAGATGTTTGTGACATAACCTCAAAATAGAGCGCTGACAGGGAGAAGTAGACAATCAAGGAGGCCATTAAGACGCCCTACAATTGTAGGGACGACTGACGATACAGGCCTAAGAAAATCAAAGAGGCCATAAACGCGTCCTACAACTGTAGGAACGACTGACGATATGTCCCTAGGAATTGTATGGTTTTCTGCATGATTTTGGCTTTCTTCTGGGATTTGCCATAATTGCGCGTAACTTAATCCTGCCTTGGTCATGGCATATACTAACGAATTGGATACTAACTCGTAGAACTTGCTTTTTCCACAGATATCATGTAATTCAATAACAATATTGCGTTACAGCTTCATCGAAAAATACTGTATTTTAGGTCTAAGACAACACATTAAATGCTTATTCCAACAGAATTTGCCTCTGTTTCGTAAAGCGACGAATCTTGTTCTGGAAGTGAGAAACGCTCTTCATGAATTCCGCAAAGAGCAATGGAGCGACTTTCTGGCGGGGATTCATGACAAGTATTCCTCTTTGGAAAGTTGCGAAGTCGCTCAGTAACGGAAAGCGAGAACAGCCCCCGCACATCCACGGTTCTGGGGACATAGTCTTAGGACAGAGGAAAGTGTCATTGAAAGACAGTTCGCTCGCAACTATGACTCTAAATAATGACCTCGACAAGGAGCAACACATCGTAAGATCCATCAGGAGATATTTTAAGGCCAACGGCGTCAGTGACAGCGACTCTTCCATTAGTGATTTTTTCATAGGAGAGTCTTATTCAGAAGATTCCTCGACTGGATAGTTGCAAAGCACTTCAGTGGAAACTCCCGAGATCCCGTATTACAGACCAGTAGAGGTTCAAGGTCATATTAATGACTTCAAGCGGTGTAAGTCACTAATAAGGTCTTCCATGCATTTTAACATCAGCATGGAAGACCGCTGATGTTAAAGTGATTCCAAAGAAGGCGGGTTCGATACTTCCCCAGGATTACCGTCCTGTTAGTCTGCTGTCAGCTTCTTGTAAGCTCGCTGAAAAGGTGTTTCTACCTTGAAACAATGTCGTCAGACCAGAAGATGATTCCTAACGTGCAATTTGAGTTTCGGTCTGAGCATAGTACGTTAAATGCGGTTAGGCTTGTGGAGCGAGTAACCAGAGGTGCCACCCTTAACGAAAGTACTGGCACCTTGCTTTTGGCTGTCTCAAAGACATTAGACAAAGCGTGGCATAAGCGCTTCCTCGGTACATTGATTCAAATGGATTTACCCTTGGTGGCTCCTAGAATTTTTGAAATTCTTCCCTGAAGGTAAGAAATTTCGGATCAAAATTAGTAATGTTCTGGTGACAACAAGACTCACAAAGTCAGGTGGCATAGCAATCCTTTGCGTGAGTCTGAAGACGACGCAGTCGAGCAAGTTCGCAATCGCACAAGACCGCGGCTCGCACTGTGAGTCAAATTAAATCGCGTGACTTTAGGTCCAACCAAAATTACAACTGTTTCTTCTACAACCAATCTCTAAATTAATTTTAGGATAAACGTAAAATTTCCGAATAATAATAATTCCAAGAGGCCATATTGACGCACTTTCTCCTCTTTGAAATGCCTCCTTCCTTTCCATCTTGCGTCTTTCCTTCATTCTCCTCCAATCTGGTCAACTACACCTGACCTACCTACTGACTTACGATATTTTAACTCAGAACAAAGGTCCTGCGGACCGCTCTTACAGACAACAACGTCTGTATTGAGCGGGAAAAAAATAGTGTTTGAATTTGGAACCTGCACAGGTCAGATATTTGACGTCCGTACTGGGTGCTGGTTGTCCAGCGCACACCTACAGAAGACGACGATGCGGGGCTGTATCAAATCTATAGACACATGCGAATCCTAATTTAATTTTAATTGCGGAACCAATGAGGACATCTACATACCAAGACACTGCGATTGCTATACTAAGTGACATATAAATCCGAACACCCAGTTTAAATGGTTTTATTTTAATAAAAGTTGGTGAATGTATTTATCTTACTGTAAATAACAAGTGAAAAAATGTTCAGCCTTATCAGTTGGACATTCCGGTTTTTATACTGCTTTTTTTTAATTCACTAACGCTCTAAAAATGAATATTTCAGCCGCAGTAAAGAATCAACGTTGGCGGATTTTGGTTCTTGACATCCTTTACGATCGGTTACGATGCCTATAGTACGGAGACCTGTACGATTTCGTCAACTTAGTGAGTTTGATAGGGGCCGTATAGTGGGACTTCGGGAAGCTGGACTTTCTCTTCGGGCAATTGCAGTTAGAGTGCAAAGAAGTGTAGACACTGTGGTTAGGTGTTGTCAGGCATGGCTTCGAGAAGGCCGTACGCAAAGAGCAAGGGGCACTGGACGCCGCCATAGAACAACAGACCGTGAAGATCGCCGCCTAAGATTATTGGCCTTAAGGGACCGTTTCTCCACTACCAGGTCCATTGCAAATGAATGGTTTGCAGAACACGGAAGACCTATTGGCATGCGAAGCGTTTACTGACGAATGAGAAGTTTTGGCTTGTTTTCACACCGGCCGCACTGGGTCCTCCCTTTAACTCGAGAACACCGACGTAATCGCCTTGAGTGGTGCAGACAACGGTCACTCTGGGATCAGGAATGGAACAGTATTGTCTTTAGTGACGAGTCTCGATTTTGTTTAGGCATGCACGATGGTCGTGCCAGGGTTAGAAGGCGACGTGGTGAAAGGAGGAATCCACAGTTTTTTGTTGAAAGACATGTTCATCACACTGTTGGAGTTATGGTTTGGGGTGCTATAGCTTATGGTTCCAGGTCACCTTTAATCTAGAACCCCATCTTTTACCCTATCTTGACACCCTGGCAGATCCAACTTTCCAACAAGATAATGCCAGACTACATGTTGCAAGAGTCACAATAGATTTCTTTCAACATAATGATGTCACATTGTTACCATGGCCACCAAGATCTCCCGACTTACCCCAATTGAGCACGTGTGGGATATGATGGGTAGGAGATTGCTCAATTTGCAACGTCCTCCTCAGACTCTAGAAGCACTTCGAGAGGAGTTGGTGGTTGCCTGGAATGAGATACCACAGGAGGACATTGACCACCTGATCAGAAGCATGTCTAGGCGCGTTGGAGAATGCGTAGCACATCAGGGTGCATCCACACATTATTAAAGGTCAAAGGGCTTTAAAGCAGTGCAATCATTTTGGAATTTTTATCATTTACTTATTCTGCTTCATTAAGTACTTATAAAAATTTTATTAAAATAAAACCATTTAAACTGGGTGTTCGGATTTATATGTCACTTAGTATACATCCATTCCTACCAATCGTAGGGGTTTGAAAAGTAGTATATAAAGAGGTGAGTCATATTAGATTTCTGAAGCTCCTAAGGTTAGTAGAATTGTGACAAACATCCTCGAGAAGATTGTTCTACAGTCTCGAAGTTCCGGGAACAAATGATCTATCGTTCGCACCTCGGCAGTGAAAGCCTGACGGGATTTTCTGGCAGACCTAACGCGTGGTACGTGAAATCGGTTGCTTACCATAAAAGAGCAAATGGTTTCTTTCAGGAAATCATGCATTTTCCCTTTAATAAAACACCAACACGTCACAACATATAATGTACAACACCAAGTGACACGTACTTTTGCACTTACGTTCCCAATGTTGTTCTTCTTATGTCCCGACGTCGGACTCTTCAAATTAGTGTATTCTAAATTCATGTTCGGAATTCCGTTGCACCTCTCCAACTTTACCGATGTCTTCGTAGACTCTTCAAATCCGGTACCTTTCACTCTGACACTAGACCATTTGATGGGGAAATTCATCAAGTTACTGACTGATCTGTTCCTCCCGACATCGATTTTGAGACTACCTCCGATCGTTCTGCTCTTTCGCCTTTCATCTTCTTGAGGAGACTTGGTGTCGCTGGTTTTTCTGCTATCCGATCTACTACTTTTCGTAGAGGACTTGCTCAGCTTTTTGCGCTTTGTTTCCCGTTGTGTCTCTGGGGTCGATGTCGCGGAAGTGATTATCAACGGAATGTCTGTTGGTAACGGGAAATGTTCACTCATAACGAACCGAGTTACACTTACAGGATCGTTATTATAACTATGCGGTTTACTTAGATACGTTTAGTGGAATTCATATGTTTGTTAGATGATATGTCGACGGACTGAGGATGAGGAAGAAGTAGGAATAAGTTTTCACAGCAGCCTTTTCGTTTAGGACTTTTCTGCCACGGATGTTTCGGTTGCTGTACAGTTTATAAATATGGTTCGTATTATGTATAGGAAGCATGGAGTATTATACAGGGTGGCGCATCGAAAACGAAACAGACGCATTTACTGGCAGCTCAGTTTTTTTTTGGAAAAACGCTCAGACCCGTCAATTTTGTTTTCGAGGGGGACACAAGTTTGGCAAAAAATCACGTTAACACGTGCAGCCCCCTGGGCGGGGGTGACACCTACCGTAAAATCTTAAATGGAAAGGGGGGTCGAGTGATACCTTATGTTAAAGGTCTTTCAATTCCCTTTATAATGATGTAAAATACATGAGCTTCAGTTCAGTAGTTTCGAAGATTTATTGATTTAAAGCTTAAAGTAGACTTTAATATGTACATCAGATTAGTTTGTACTACTTTTAGAAGAAATTTGAATAAAAGAATTTACTTAATAAGTAAATGCTTTTCTTCACTACGCGATGGTTTGTTTATCATTTTGTTGTTGAAAATAGCTATTGAAGCGTTTTTTGTGGCAAGAAAGTTATTTCTTGAAGAAAGATAAGGAAATATCGTACTTATTTTAAATAGGAATTTAGTACATAGTTTGCGATTGATTTGACCAAACTTAGTTGCTAAACTAACTTATAACGCTTTATTACATAAATTAACCATGGTATATTCCAGATCAGAAAGAGTTGAAATTATCGAAATGTTTTTCGGAAATAATCAGTGCGCTAATAGAAGAGCAGAAATATTTAATGAGCGACATTAGAACAGTAAAGTGCATTGAAAGTGTGTTCTAGAACTTGTAGCTAAATTTCGGAAAACTGGGTCAGTCGCCAATATATACTAAGTGACATATAAATCCGAACACCCAGTTTAAATGGTTTTATTTTAATAAAATTTTGTGCTTAATGAAGCATAATAAGTAAATGATAAAAATTTCAAAATGATTGCACTGCTTTAAAGCCCTTTGACCTTTAATAATGTGTGGATGCACCCTGATGTGCTACGCATTCTCCAACGCGCCTAGGCATGCTTCTGATCAGGTGGTCAATGTCCTCCTGTGGTATCTCATTCCAGGCAACCACCAACTTCTCTCGAAGTGCTTCTAGAGCCTGAGGAGGACGTTGCAAATTGAGCAATCTCCTACCCATAATATTCCACACGTGCTCAATTGGGGATAAGTCGGGAGATCTTGGTGGCCATGGTAACAATGTGACATCATTATGTTCAAAGAAGTCTATTGTGACCCTTGCAACATGTGGTCGGGCATTATCTTGTTGGAAAGTTGAATCTGCCAGGGTGTCAAGATAGGGTAAAAGATGGGGTTCTAGAACTTCGTGGATATAACGCTGCGCGTGCATGTTACCTCTGATGAAGATTAAAGGTGACCTGCAACCATAAGCTATAGCACCCCAAACCATAACTCCAACAGTGTGATGAACATGTCTTTCAACAAAAAACTGTGGATTCCTCCTTTCACCACGTCGCCTTCTAACCCTGGCACGACCATCGTGCATGCCTAAACAAAATCGAGACTCGTCACTAAAGACAATACTGTTCCATTCCTGATCCCAGAGTGACCGTTGTCTGCACTACTCAAGGCGATTACGTCGGTATTCTCGAGTTAAAGGGAGGACCCAGTGTGGCCGGTATGAAAACAAGCCAAAACTTCTCATTCGTCGGTAAACACTTCGCATGCCAATAGGTCTTCCGTGTTCTGCAAACCATTCATTTGCAATGGACCTGGTAGAGAAGAAACGGTCCCTTAAGGCCAATAATCTTAGGCGGCGATCTTCACGGTCTGTTGTTCTACGGCGGCGTCCAGTGCCGCTTGCTCTTTGCGTACGGCCTTCTAGAAGCCATGCCTGACAACACCTAACCACAGTGTCTACACTTCTTTGCACTCTAATTGCAATTGCCAGAAAAGAAAGTCCAGCTTCCCGAAGTCCCACTATACGGCCCCTATCAAACTCACTAAGTTGACGAAATCGTACAGGTCTCCGTACTCTAGGCATCGAACCGATCGTAAAGGATGTCAAGAACCAAAATCCGCCAACGTTGATTCTTTACTGCGGCTGAAATATTCATTTTTAGAGCGTTAGTGAATTAAAAAAAAGCAGTATAAAAACCGGAATGTCCAACTGATAAGGCTGAACATTTTTTCACTTGTTATTTACAGCAAGATAAATACATTCACCAACTTTTATTAAAATAAAACCATTTAAACTGGGTGTTCGGATTTATATGTCACTTAGTATACTTCTAAAAAAAACTCACTGAACAAACTGAAAACTGAATGAAAGCTCTAATCGAATGGACTATGCAGTATTGAATGAAACAATATTTCTTCACCGACAAACACTGTTAAACGATTTAGGGTGTGCGAGATGTCAAGTTCAAAATGAGTTTTTGTAGGGAAACATATTTGCACCATTGTTTATAAAGCAAACTAACATAAATGTTTCATGTAGATCCACACCCTTAAATAATCGTATATCATCAAAGAACATCCTGTATATTGCAAATAAATTGACAGGGTCCTTGTGGGATGGATAGTATAAATATCAGAAACTGTGATTTCCACTATACTATCCAAACACCGTTAACTCAAAAAATAATCGGACCCCAATTGCAAACCGTAGTGCTCTCAGTTCCCAATTTCAATCCGATCGCATTTATTAGGAATAAAATGAATGAAAACGTATAAAAAGTATCTGAAATATTTCTAATTTATTCCTTTCGAGGACGACAGGAGAAAACCACAAAGTATCGCAAACGGGTTAGCATGAAAATATAATTGTTTGATCAAAGAGATGTGTAAATAAAACTAGTTTTTCAAAAGTGTTATTTGAGGTACATATTAGACCAGGGAGCAAAATAAATACTGGTGAAATGATAGTTATTTATTCGCTGTATAACTCAGGTAAAATTTTTTTCGTCGTTAATCATCATTGCATCGCTTCCAAATATTTTCGAATCCAGCACTTTCCCAGAAAACTGGAGATTGACTCATGTCCAGCCCATCCCAAAAAAGTAGCTGAGATCGACCTTTATAACTACAGCACTATAGTTCTGCTTTATGCTATAATACTAAACTACTAAACTTGGATAGTTCAAAAATCGGAAAATAAAGGTGTTTCTAGCTTCCTTATAGCAGCCGCGGTGCCCTGGCATTATGCTTCAGCCTGCGCGTGAGTCCTGAAATTTTTGAACGGCAGTGTACCTATATCTGCTAGGTACTTGATACGTTTACGCCTATCAACTCTGAAAATTAAAGTACTCGGCGTTCGCCGAGGTATTTGGTGACATGAACATGTCCCAATTTTCAGCCCTTCACCCTTAACACGACCGTATATTTTAATTTTCGTCTGATTTTCACATCACGCTATGCTCCAGATATTGGCTAGCATCCCTCCCCCAAGGCAATCGATAGAATGGTACATTACTCTCTGCTCTCGGTTGGTGTCAAGCGACGAATCCCTTAAGGCATTGCAAAACTGTCGTAGTAATTCTTTTTCGTTTTCGCAATTGAGGATGTGATAGAGACAAAATCAGGGCACGATAATTAGGCTTTGTATGTATGTGCTCATGTTAATAACTGCGTTAGGTAGGTTGAGACACTCCCAATACTGACAAGCTCAACAGGGTGTAAACGTTATTTAAATGCGACTTTAAAGTAAAATAAATTTGACAACGCCGCAATGCCAGACGTAAATTAAGACGGAACGCAGTGTAAATAAAGACGGAGTTTGTTATTTTTGGCTGTTAGGTATTATTTCATTATTTGATAATGTACTCGTAAAATGCAAACAATTAAAAAAAACGGACTTACCACTAACCGTCACAGCGCTTCACCTGGTGTGTGAAAGTTTATTGAACGTATTAAAAAAATCCACTTGTAAATAGGGCACACAATTTTGATACATACATTGTTTTTCTTTTTAAAACCCACACTGCACCTTTTTGTATTTAAAGAAGTTGTTCAAAATGTCGTCCTCCACAGAAGCTTCATTACGACGAACCCAGTTTCTTCTTACTCTAGGTCCTCGAAGTTGTCCATTTATTATTTCAGCCGCATTAACAACTGTTTCGCGAAGTTGTGGTTCAGTTGTTATTGGACCAGTCCCATAAACCATCCCTTTAAGTTGTCCCCAATATCAGAAATCCATCGGATTGAGGTCATTCAAATACTGAATGACGCCTCTAAAAATGTGTGGTGGCGCCCCGTCATGAAGAAACCACAAATTCTGTCTCCGTTGTATTGGCATGTTGTCTAAGGTCTGTTCCAAAAGTTCTGGTAGGTTATTGGCTAGAAAGTTAAGGTGTCCTTCTCCTGACAACTTTGAGGGTAACTCGAAAGGGCCAATTATATAACCTGTCTTCCACGAGAGCGAATATTAGTGGGTTGAACACTTCCTGTATCTCGTAGTCTTTGGTACACTTGCACAAATGTCCTTCTGTCTGGGTGTACCCGTTGGCGGAATCTGTCACGATAAATTTGAGCTGCAAGATTTCAATTCTGACGAGCTTCATCGTAAACTACAGAATCACCTCCCTCTATGTGCCACCAGGGGAGGCCCTAGACGAAGATGACATCGCTGACCTCCTGAGAGGCCCAGGAGCACGCATAGTCATCGGAGGTCTGAACTGCAAGTCTCCGGCATGGAAAAATAACGTCGAAGAGAGGAATGCAAGGCAGCTCCAAGAACACGTCGATGCCCTGGCGGGGGTCATCGTCGGTCCGGAGCAACCAACCTACATTCCATTAGGCAATGGGCGACCTGCGGTGCTGGTCATAGCCATCCTTCGCAACATCAGAGAGAAGTTCGAGATAGAGACCCTGGA